ACTTTAGTACAGCGTATTACTGTAGTACAGCGTATTACTGTAGTACAGCATATTACTTTAGTACAGCGTGTTACTGTAGTACAGCGTCAGGACAGCGTATTACTGTAGTACAGCGTATTACTGTAGTACAGTGTATTACTATAGTATAGCGTCAGCACAGCGAGTTACTGTAGTACAGCGAATTACTGTAGTACAGCGAATTACTGTAGTACAGCGTATTACTGTAGTACAGCGTGTTACTTTAGTACAGCGTGTTACTGTAGTACAGCGTCAGGACAGCGTATTACTTTAATATAGGGTCAGTATAGCATATTACTGTAGTACAGCGTATTACTGTAGTATAGCGTCAGCACAGCGTATTAATTTAGTACAGCGTGTTACTGTAGTACAGCGTATTACTGTAGTACAGCGTCAGGACAGCGTATTACTGTAGTACAGCGTATTACTGTAGTACAGCGTATTACTGTAGTACAGCGTGTTACTTTAGTACAGCGTATTACTGTAGTACAGCGTGTTACTTTAGTACAGTGTATTACTATAGTATAGCGTCAGAACAGCGAGTTACTGTAGTACAGCGTCAGGACAGCGTATTACTGTAGTACAGCTTATTACTGTAGTACAGTGTATTACTATAGTATAGCGTCAGCACAGCGAGTTACTGTAGTACAGCGTATTACTGTAGTACAGCGTCAGCACAGCGTATTACTTTAATATAGGGTCAGTATAGCGTATTACTGTAGTACAGCGTATTACTGTAGTACAGCGTATTACTGAAGTATAGCGTATTACTGTAGTATAGCGTCAGGACAGCGAGTTACTGTAGTACAGCGTATTACTGTAGTATAGCGTCAGCACAGCGTATTACTGTAGTATAGCGTATTACTGTAGTATAGCGTATTACTGTAGTATAGCGTATTACTGTAGTATAGCGTCAGGACAGCGAGTTACTGTAGTACAGCGTATTACTGTAGTATAGCGTCAGCACAGCGTATTACTGTAGTATAGCGTATTACTGTAGTATAGCGTCAGGACAGCGTATTAATTTAGTACAGCGTGTTACTGTAGTACAGCGTATTACTGTAGTACAGCGTATTACTGTAGTATAGCGTCAGCACAGCGTATTAATTTAGTACAGCGTGTTACTGTAGTACAGCGTATTACTGTAGTACAGCATATTACTGTAGTACAGCGTGTTACTGTAGTACAGCGTCAGCACAGCGTATTAATTTAGTACAGCGTCAGGACAGCGTGTTACTGTAGTACAGCGTATTACTGTAGTATAGCGTCAGCACAGCATATTACTGACGTATTACAGCGTATTACTGTAGTACAGCGTCAGGACAGCGTATTACTGTAGTACAGCGTATTACTGTAGTATAGCGTCAGGACAGCGAGTTACTGTAGTACAGCGTATTACTGTAGTACAGCGTATTACTGTAGTATAGCGTCAGCACAGCGTATTACTGTAGTATAGCGTCAGGACAGCGTGTTACTGTAGTACAGCGTATTACTGTAGTATAGCGTCAGCACAGCATATTACTGACGTATTACAGCGTATTACTGTAGTACAGCGTATTACTGTAGTACAGCATATTACTGTAGTACAGCGTGTTACTGTAGTATAGCGTATTACTGTAGTATAGCGTCAGCACAGCATATTACTGATGTATTACAGCGTATTACTGTAGTACAGCGTCAGGACAGCGTGTTACTGTAGTACAGCGTGTTACTGTAGTACAGCGTATTACTGTAGTATAGCGTCAGCACAGCATATTACTGACGTATTACAGCGTATTACTGTAGTACAGCGTCAGGACAGCGTATTACTGTAGTACAGCGTGTTACTGTAGTACAGCGTATTACTGTAGTATAGCGTCAGCACAGCATATTACTGACGTATTACAGCGTATTACTGTAGTACAGCGTATTACTGTAGTACAGCGTATTACTGTAGTACAGCATATTACTGTAGTACAGCGTGTTACTGTAGTACAGCGTATTACTGTAGTATAGCGTCAGGACAGCGTGTTACTGTAGTACAGCGTATTACTGTAGTATAGCGTCAGCACAGCATATTACTGACGTATTACAGCGTATTACTGTAGTACAGCGTCAGGACAGCGTGTTATTGTAGTACAGCGTGTTACTGTAGTACAGCGTCAGGACAGCGTATTACTGTAGTACAGCGTATTACTGTAGTATAGCGTCAGGACAGCGTATTACTGTAGTACAGCGTATTACTGTAGTACAGCGTCAGGACAGCGTGTTACTGTAGTACAGCGTATTACTGTAGTACAGCGTATTACTGTAGTATTGCGTCAGCACAGCGTGTTACTGTAGTACAGCGTGTTACTGTAGTACAGCGTGTTACTGTAGTACAGCGTCAGGACAGCGTATTACTGTAGTACAGCGTGTTACTGTAGTACAGCGTGTTACTGTAGTACAGCGTCAGGACAGCGTATTACTGTAGTACAGCGTATTACTGTAGTACAGCGTGTTACTTTAGTACAGCGTGTTACTTTAGTACAGCGTCAGGACAGCGTATTACTGTAGTACAGCGTCAGGACAGCGTATTACTGTAGTACAGCGTATTACTGTAGTACAGTGTATTACTGTAGTACAGCGTATTACTGTAGTACAGCGTATTACTGTAGTACAGCGTGTTACTGTAGTACAGCGTCAGGACAGCGTATTACTGTAGTACAGCGTATTACTGTAGTACAGCGTATTACTGTAGTACAGCGTGTTACTTTAGTACAGCGTGTTACTGTAGTACAGCGTCAGGACAGCGTATTACTGTAGTACAGCGTGTTACTGTAGTACAGCGTGTTACTGTAGTACAGCGTGTTACTGTAGTACAGCGTCAGGACAGCGTATTACTGTAGTACAGCGTATTACTGTAGTACAGCGTGTTACTTTAGTACAGCGTGTTACTATAGTACAGCGTCAGGACAGCGTATTACTGTAGTACAGCGTGTTACTGTAGTACAGCGTGTTACTGTAGTACAGCGTATTACTGTAGTACAGCGTGTTACTGTAGTACAGCGTGTTACTGTAGTACAGCGTCAGGACAGCGTATTACTGTAGTACAGCGTGTTACTGTAGTATAGCGTCAGCACAGCGAGTTACTGTAGTACAGCGTATTACTGTAGTACAGCGTGTTACTTTATTACAGCGTGTTACTGTAGTACAGCGTATTACTGTAGTACAGCGTATTACTGTAGTACAGCGTGTTACTTTATTACAGCGTGTTACTGTAGTACAGCGTGTTACTTTAGTACAGCGTGTTACTTTAGTACAGCGTATTACTGTAGTATAGCGTTTTACTGTAGTACAGCGTATTACTGTAGTATAGCGTATTACTGTAGTACAGCGTGTTACTTTAGTACAGCGTATTACTGTAGTACAGCGTATTACTGTAGTACAGCGTGTTACTTTAGTACAGCGTGTTACTGTAGTACAGCGTGTTACTGTAGTACAGCGTATTACTGTAGTACAGCGTGTTACTTTAGTACAGCGTGTTACTGTAGTACAGCGTGTTACTGTAGTACAGCGTATTACTGTAGTACAGCGTGTTACTGTAGTACAGCGTATTACTGTAGTATAGCGTGTTACTTTAGTACAGCGTATTACTGTAGTATAGCGTGTTACTTTATTACAGCGTGTTACTTTAGTACAGCGTATTACTGTAGTATAGCGTATTACTGTAGTACAGCGTATTACTGTAGTACAGCGTGTTACTTTAGTACAGCGTATTACTGTAGTATAGCGTTTTACTGTAGTACAGCGAGTTACTGTAGTACAGCGTATTACTGTAGTACAGCGTGTTACTTTAGTACAGCGTGTTACTTTAGTACAGCGTATTACTGTAGTATAGCGTTTTACTGTAGTACAGCGTATTACTGTAGTATAGCGTATTACTGTAGTACAGCGTGTTACTTTAGTACAGCGTATTACTGTAGTACAGTGTATTACTGTAGTATAGGGTCAGTATAGCGTATTACTGTAGTACAGCGTATTACTGTAGTATAGCGTGTTACTTTAGTACAGCGTATTACTGTAGTACAGCGTATTACTGTAGTATAGCGTGTTACTTTAGTACAGCGTATTACTGTAGTACAGCGTGTTACTTTAGTACAGCGTATTACTGTAGTACAGTGTATTACTGTAGTATAGGGTCAGTATAGCGTATTACTGTAGTACAGCGTATTACTGTAGTATAGCGTGTTACTTTAGTACAGCGTATTACTGTAGTACAGCGTATTACTGTAGTATAGCGTATTACTGTAGTACAGCGTGTTACTTTAGTACAGCGTATTACTGTAGTACAGCGTATTACTGTAGTATAGCGTATTACTGTAGTACAGCGTGTTACTGTAGTACAGCGTGTTACTTTAGTACAGCGTGTTACTGTAGTACAGCGTGTTACTTTAGTACAGCGTGTTACTGTAGTACAGCGTATTATTGTAGTACACCGTATTACTGTAGTACAGCCTATTACTGTAGTAAAGCGTCAGTACAGTGTATTACTGTAGTACAGCGTGTTACTGTAGTATAGTGTCAGCACAGCATATTACTTTAGTACAGGGTATTACTGTAGTACAGCGTCAGGACAGTGTATTACTGTAGTACAGCGTATTACTTTAGTACAGGGTATTACTGTAGTACAGCATTAATACAGTGTATTACTGTAGTACAGCATCAGTACAGCGTATTACTGTAGTACAGTGTATTACTGTAATACAGCGTATTAATTTAGTACAGCGTATTACTGTAGTACAGCATTAATACAGTGTATTACTGTAGTACAGCATCAGTACAGCGTATTACTGTAGTACAGTGTATTACTGTAATACAGCGTATTAATTTAGTACAGCGTATTACTGTAGTACAGCGTCAGCACAGCGTATTACTGTAGTACAGCGTCAGCACAGCGTAGTAGTACAGCATATTACTGTAGTACAGCATCAGAACAGTGTATTGGCATGTAGGACTCTCACCTGGAGTATTCTTGTTGCCTTGTTTACCCACAAGCCCACGGGCTCGGATGACCTCCACGTCCAGACGCTCCTTCCTGTACACCATCCCGATCTGGATATCACCTGACCACCAAACAACCAATTAGAGGTGCTCATATTATCTGATGTCACACAGTTTCCGTTTCCTCAGGAGTTACTTTGAGTTATTAATCAACAGTAAAAACATAAAGAGCTCAGGGTCCTTTAAACTGACACATACAGACACATAAACACTAACGTATAAATATAATAATATAAAGTAAGTATGAAATATCGTCATTACCCATAGGGGGCGTGGCCAGAGTCTGCCGTCCCGCCAGCTGGGCAGGCCCTAATCCCTCCAGGAAGCCGGTGAACTGTTTGTCTGACGCCAGCTTCACTCCTGGAAATATTAGACTGAAGAGATGAAAAGAAAAAATAGATTAGGAACAAATTAGAAAGGAGAAGCTGTGAAGAGAAACAAGAGAAAGTCGTACGCTCCAGGTTTGGGTTCCTCGGCGTCCGGGTCGCGGCTCAGCTGTCGGGTGAAACGAGATTTAAACTCGATGGCCAGACCGGTTTCCACACTCCTCTGGACAGGAAGTCTCACCACCTTCTTCTTCTTCTCCTCCTCTAGATGGACAGAGGGACACAGAAAGACAGAGAAGAAGAAGGAGGTGTGAGTACCAGCCCTGAACATCTGCAGTCCTTCATCAAGAAACGGACGGAGCGCGCCGCTGATGACCTTTAACACACCTCACCGTGAAGCTGTCTGCAGTAATGAACCGAAAGGCACTGTGGGAAATAGAGTCCACCGGTTTGATGGATGTCCCCATACTTGAGTGCACATCACAGCGTGCACTCGAGATGAAAATGTATTTGGCTTTAGTCAAATGTTCACTGGTTCATCCTGAGAGAAGCTCACCATGGGGTAATATTTCTGCAGAGGACATCTAGAGGACAACAGCAACTAGAAAGATGGCAGATTGAAAGATGGCCAACTAAAAGTGGCTTACATCCACAGCACCTGATAAAGTTACTTTAGCTTTTTAAAATGGCTCCAGAAGTCACCTGATAACTTTACTGAAACCAAACGTTACTTCAAACAGATAAATTAACATCTGGGAGATATTATTGGCTGGTGGAGTAAAGTGTTGGACCAATCAGGAGCAACAGTGTGTGGTTCTAGCTGCTTCTGCTTGTTCTAGTTGCTGCTTCTAAATAAATGTAAATGTAAATTCTCCGTATTTGTATAGCACCTTTCTCGCCTTTTCGGCATTCACCATTCACACACGTGGAACAGCCACCAGGGGCAATTTGGGGTTCAGTATCTTTCACAAGGACACTTCGACATGCAGCCTGGAGGCTACAGGGGATTGAACCGCCAACCTTCGCTTAATGGGCAACCTCCTGAGACAGAGCCACTTCTGCTGGTTCTAGTTGCTGCTTCTGCTAGTTCTAGTTGCTGCTAGTTGCTGCTTCTGCTAGTTCTAGTTGCTGCTAGTTGCTGCTTCTGCTAGTTCTAGTTGCTGCTAGTTGCTGCTTCTGCTGGTTCTAGTTGCTGGTTTTAGTTGCTGCTACTGGTTCTAGCTGCTGCTGCTGGTTCCAGCTGCTGTTTCTAGTTGCTGCTGCTGGTTCTAGCTGCTTGTTCCGGCTGCTGCTACTGGTTTATAGTTGCTGCTACTGGTTCTAGCTGCTGCTGCTGGTTCCAGCTGCTGTTTCTAGTTGCTGCTGCTGGTTCTAGCTGCTTGTTCCGGCTGCTGCTACTGGTTTATAGCTGCTGCTGCTTGTTCCGGCTCCTGCTGCTGGTTCTAGCTGCTGCTGCTGGTTCTAGCTGCTGCTACTGGATCTAGCTGCTGCTACTGGTTCCGGCTGCTGCTGCTACTGGTTTTAGCTTGTGCTTCTGCTGGTTCTAGCTGCTGCTGCTGGTTCTGGCTGCTGCTGCTGCTGGTTCTGGCTGCTGCTGCTGGTTCTAGCTGGTGCTGCTGCTGGTTCTAGCTACTGCTTCTGCTGGTTCTAGCTGCTGGTTCTAGCTACTGTGCTGCTACTGGTTCTAGTTGCTGCTGCTGCTGGTTCTAGCTGCTAGTTCTAGGTGCTGGTTCTGGCTGCTTCTGCTGGTACTAAGTGCTGCTGGTTCTAGGTGCTGCTGGTTCTGGCTGGTGCTGCTGGTTCTAGGTGCTGGTTTTAGTTGCTGCTACTGGTTCTAGCTGCTGCTGCTGGTTCCAGCTGCTGTTTCTAGTTGCTGCTGCTGGTTCTAGCTGCTTGTTCCGGCTGCTGCTACTGGTTTATAGCTGCTGCTGCTTGTTCCGGCTCCTGCTGCTGGTTCTAGCTGCTGCTGCTGGTTCTAGCTGCTGCTACTGGATCTAGCTGCTGCTACTGGTTCCGGCTGCTGCTGCTACTGGTTTTAGCTTGTGCTTCTGCTGGTTCTAGCTGCTGCTGCTGGTTCTGGCTGCTGCTGCTGCTGGTTCTGGCTGCTGCTGCTGCTGGTTCTAGCTGGTGCTGCTGCTGGTTCTAGCTACTGCTTCTGCTGGTTCTAGCTGCTGGTTCTAGCTACTGCTTCTGCTGGTTCTGGCTGCTGCTACTGGTTCTAGTTGCTGCTGCTGCTGGTTCTAGCTGCTAGTTCTAGGTGCTGGTTCTGGCTGGTGCTGCTGGTTCTAGGTGCTGCTCCTGCCGGTTCTAGCTGCTGGTTCTCGCTGCTGCTGCTGGCTAAACTGGGACTGACCCTCGGGGTTGAGCTGGGAGGCACTCTGACTCTTCTTTCCCAGTCCGACCATCCCCATCATCTTTGCTCCGAAGCTCGAGCGACGCTTCTTGTCGTCGTCATCGTCGTCGTTTCTCCCCAGCGAACAGATCTCTCCGCCGACACTTGACGACTTCGTAAGAGGAGCTGCCGCTGCCGCAGCCCTGCAGGAGGAGAAAGGAACTACACGTAAGGTAGGTGGGGCATTGGGGGGGGTCACTACTGCTGCTATGACGAAGGGTCTCATTCCGGTTGGGAAGCCTCATTGGTTGGTAGCTTACTTTGACGGCTCAGGCTCCTCCTCCTCTCCTTCTTCTCCTTCCTCCACTGATTCGCTCTTCTGCAGCACGGTGCTGTCCTTTGCTGCCCCTGTTACTCCCTGTGTCCCTGACCCCGCCCCCAACTCCACTGATTGGCCCTGCAGAGCCTCCACTTGACTGTATCAGCCAATGAGAGGAGAGAACAGCAGCATGCAGACAGAATGATGAAGAGGAAAAACATGCTAACAGAAACAAGATCATGCTAACTGCTAACAAAGGTAACAAACAACATGCTAGCAAGCATGCTCATAACATGGTATTTAAATAACAACATGCTAACAGATGACTGATGCATGATGGGAAATGTTTTGTTTTGCAGGTGGCGGGGTCACACAACATTTACTGTATAATTTCCCGCGGCGCCCCCATCAGGACGAACGTGTCACGAACACTACAGCCTGCAGGGGGCGCTGCTGTCATCTGAGTGCTAAGCACGTTGATGGTATAAAAACAAATGCTAACAGCGCACAGACATAAAATCTCACTAACGCAGAATCATATTTCTACACTTGTATGTGGAAATAATGAGTCTGATTGGCTTCTGGTCCCACCTGATCCTGTGGACAGATCGGATGTCGTTGGACATGGCCGACACTTCGCTGACATCGCTGTCTGATGACTTAAAGGACAGACTGTCCCTCATCTGCAGACACAGACAAGAGGACAGGTGAGCAGGCGATCAGGTGTATGACATCATCAGTGATGCTGTGTAACATGATGATGTCTGCTTACCTTTGATGGATCCTTCATCACACCTGCAGAGACAGAAGAGCAGAATGAGTTTATTACATCACTGTGATGTCATAGTTTTGGTTATCAATAGGGATGATGTCATAGTTTTGGTTATCAAAAGGGATGATGTCATAGTTTTGGTTATCGAAAGGGATGATGTCATAGTTTTGGTTATCGAAAGGGATGACGTCATAGTTTTGGTTATCGAAAGGGATGACGTCATAGTTTGGGTTAGCAGAGTCAGTCTCAGGTTTGTACCATGGACAATGATGTCACTGAATCTCGTGGTGATAAATATATTTAAATGTTCCTGCTCATCTACACAGGAAGTGACATCACACCGTGAAAAACAGCAGCTCTGACATCACGACATAATCGATGTTACTGTTAATATTAATTTCTGTTAGTGTTCTTCATCAACAGAGCGATGACATCACAATCATGATGACATGTCAAAGTAATGATGACGTCACAAAGTCATGATGACATCACAGAGACATCTACCTTCTCTGCTCGCTGGTAAAACCTCTCCTTCACATGACAGCGATGGAAAAAAAGAACATAAAGTCAACAAGAAATGATTCACAAACACCTGAAATCACTGAAAGCAGGAAAACTGGGAAGGTGGAGGGTCGGGGCTGGGTCCCTTCAGTACTACAGAGTACCGAGAAATACTGCTCTGTTACACGGAGTAGAACGTGTAACTGAGCAGTAACGCCACATGTCGTCATGGACTGGGGTCGTTAGGCTGATTGTTGTGAATAAGCTAAAGAGGAAAGCTAACCGTCTGCTAATTACAATTTACTGAACTGATTTAAACTTTCAGAAGTGAAGACCTCCTCTTTCCTGACATCTTCATTTATCCACCTAAAAAATTAGTTTGTGACTCTTTTTCTACTTCACTGCTTCTTCCTGGTCACATCATTTAATCTCTGGCAGGTGACACAGTTTGAAATTCCAAACTATAATAAGAAACGTTCTAAATAAACAAATTGGTATTATTGTTAGTATTATTTTTAAATACTACACATATGGGTGACAATGGACGGACGGACGGATTTACTGGTGACTAAATGGACAGATGAGTGGCAGAGACAGGAAATCCAAAGCTAACGTCTCTGCTGCCTCTGACCACGTCTCATCACAGACTCTGGTGACTAACGTGTCACATGGCTGAATGTTCTACAGGAGGAGGAGCTAACTGTCTGGGGGTGTGGGGGTGCCTAACAGGTGGTACCATACCATTGGCTGTTTTCTTCTGTTGGTCCTCCCATGTGACCTCTGCATCATGGCAGAGAGAGACATGATTGGTCAGACTACAATGACAGACTGAACTGTTCAGGTGATCCTTCTGATATCAAACCATTTAAACCAGCAGGACCACAGACTCAAATCCCAGTACTCACCATCAACACATCTACACACACCTGCACAACAACACCTGGTTTATGAGTTTACAAGGATCACCTGAACGCATCATCAGAGCCACTTGAGTTCTGACTTGCCTTTTCTGGTCCCGCCAGGGGTTGCTGAGCGTCTGTCGGGCTCTGACACGGACAGGTGGGATGTGATGACATCAGCATGATGCAACAGAGATGAACATAGGGATGAATGAAGAGTGACGATGGAGAACGTCTGACACACAGATCTGACTGCACAGTCACCAGCTAGTGGTCCTACTGGATCTACCGGTCTACACTGACTGGACTACACACTTCAAACCTGTGATGTACACACCTGGAGTCTGTGGAGGCGGGGCAGGTGAGGGGGCAGGGGAAGGTGTCGGGACAGGTGTTGGAGCAGGTACAGGGGGGAGGGTGGGTTCAGAAGATTGGACTACAGGAGCTGGGGGTAGGGCAGCAGCCGGGGGTGAGGCTGGAGTAGGTGCGGGTACATAGGGCTGGTCTTGGGCCGCTGCTGGTGCAGGTACCGGAGCTGGAGTTGGGGCTTGGGTCGGGGCTTGGACAGGAGCTGGTGCAGGTGCTGCTACAGGTAGGGGTGCAGGAGGTGGGTGGACGAGGACAGGAGCTGGGGCCTGGGCTGGAGCAGTGGCTGGGGGCGGGGCTTGGACTTTGACAGGAGCTGGGCCTGGTGCTGGTGCTGGAGCTGGGGGCGGGGCATAGACCTGGGCAGGAACTGGCGCAGGCGCTGCTACAGGTGCAGGTGCAGGGTGGGGTTGGGCTGGTCCAGGAGGAGGAGGGGCTTGGATTCGTATAAGAGGAGGCTGTTGATTATTGACGGGGGGAGGGGCTTGCTTGTGGACAGGGGGAGGGGCTTGATTAAATAGAGTGGGAGGAGCTACAGTTGCAGTTGGTGCTCCTGTCGTGGGCGTGGCCAAAACTGATAGACATGAAAAGATTTTAGAGAAATGAAAAAGAAAAGATGATCAATGAAAACAGACAAACTATGAGGTGATGAAGACACAGAAACTGTTTAACAACTAACCAATCCCATTTCTACTTCTGCCCTTACTTGTTCAAACTATTTTTCCGTTTCATTCTTCCTGAGCGCCAGTACGACGTAGGACCTGGCGTACATAAGCCCACGTCTTCATGAAAGATTTCCCTTCCAGCAGGTAATCTGCTGCACTAGAAGTCCCGCAACTGGATGCTGGGAGGTTTTGTTCTCCAAGGGCTGCGGTCAGACAATCAATGCTATACTCCTAACTCCTGGCTCCAGCTCTGAAGCTAGACCGGCGAGGTAAGTGTTCTGCCTTTGTGTTTGTACCGGCAGTGATCGGCAAGCGTGTCAAATGCCAGGGAAAAGTTCAATAAGACGAGAAGTGCCATGGGACCTTTAATGACCACAGTGAGTCCGGACCTCGGTTTAAGGTCTCATGCGAAGGACAGCAGCTCCTACAGCACAGTGTCCGGCGAAAGTGGACACACTGGCCTCAGAGTTAGCTGAGATTAAAGATTGGCTCCTTAAGCTTCAGTCAGGCGGGGGGGTTTCCAATTCATGTGGACTAATCTACCAGGATGGGACGACCTGGCCTGTCTTACAAGGACTAACCCTTTTTTCTGAATCAGTGTCCTTATGAACCTGCTGAGGTCGTCAGGCAGGAACCTGTTCTCCTGTCTGGAGGACCAGCTGACAAACTCCGAAAGTTCTTTTAAATCATATTTTATGTAATTCAGTTTGTGTCTGCGTGTGTGCAGCTTGGTTTCTGAGTGAAATGTTATGTAACAGGTTTGTAATAAGTGCTAATAAGCAGCACATCTACTGTGAGCAGCAGCATGTGAACACAGCTGGTTGGCTGGTTGGCAGCGTCACACGTACTTCTGTCCGGCGCTCCTTTGGGCGGTATGATGGGCAGCTGGCGTCCGCGGCGGCTGCAGACCGGCGTTCCTGGTGGGCTCGTCTGGGTCGTTCCGCCTCGTGGGTTCGCCCTGTTGGATCAAAACGCAGGAGTCAGTCTAACAGGAGTAAAGATCAAAGGTCAGAGGTCACAGTGGTCGCGGTCATTGCTGATAGAAGATTAAGGCTTTGGTTTATGTGTGTTTTAGGGAGGCTATGCTACGCTGTGTTAGCTAACAGTGAAAACACTGAAGAGTTGCCTTCAATCAATCAGCCAATCAATGCACTGATCGCAGGACACTGTCTCCATGGTTACAGGCATTGATTTGATCGCCTCAGGTGTTGGAAGTGAAAAGTTTGATCAACAGGTATTTTGGCACAAAGAATCTTCACTCAGCAGCTGCAACATGAGAAATCTGTTCAAGTCACTCCAACTCATTCAGACGTGTTCCAGGACACAGGTCAGCTGACACTGACCTCAGCCAATCAGAACCTGTGTTTACTTCCTGTTTGAGGAAGTTGTGAGTTGTGTCCTGCTGCAGTCAGGCTGAATCCAAATGTCCAGATTTCCTAGCAGTTACAGACTTTACAGACTCCAAGGACGAGGAATCAGTGCGGTACCTTTAATAATGATTTAAAGGGTACTTCTGTAAATGGTAAATGGACTGTACAGCACCTTTCTCAAAGCGCTTTTACACTATAGAGCACTGCGCTCCCAGAATGCAGGGTTACTTGTGGTTCCTAGAGTCTCCAAAAGTAGACTAGGAGCCAGAGCGTTCAGCTATCAAGCTCCTCTCCTGTGGAACCAGGTTCCAGTTTGGGTTCAGGAGGCAGACACCATCTCCACATTTAAGAGTAGGCTTAAGACTTTCCTCTTTGATAAAGCTTATAGTTAGGGCTGGCTCAGGTGAGTCCTGAACCATCCCTTAGTTATGCTGCTATAGGCCTAGACTGCCGGGGGATTTCCCATGATGCACTGAGCTCCTCTCTCCTCTACTTTCTCTCCCTCTGTATGCAACCTCATCCCATTATTGCATGTTACTAACACAACTTCTCCCCTTTCTGGTAGTCTTGTGCTTTCTCGTCCCTCTCCTCTCTCCTCCTATCACTTCCTGCAGGTGTTTCTGGCTCTGGAGCTGTGGAGTCTGGAGCTGTGGAGTCTGGAGCTGTGGGGTCTGGAGCTGTGGGGTCTGGAGCTGTAGGGTCTGGAGCTGTAGGGTCTGGAGCTGTGGGGTCTGGAGCTGTGGAGTCTGGAGCTGTAGGGTCTGGAGCTGTGGGGTCTGGAGCTGTGGGGTCTGGAGCTGTAGGGTCTGGAGCTGTGGGGTCTGGAGCTGTAGGGTCTGGAGCTGTGGGGTCTGGAGCTGTAGGGTCTGGAGCTGTGGGGTCTGGAGCTGTAGGGTCTGGAGCTGTGGCTGCTACAGTTGCTCATCATTACTGCTACCTTCTGTATCGGTGTTCGTATTATTTCCACCGTTACCAGCGTTTTATGTCTCTGTGTGGAACTTGCCTTGTGCTGCTTTGTGTTCCCTCCTGCTCTCTCTGAATCGGTGCTATTTGAATAAAACAAACTTGCGTGAGCAGGAACAGATTTTTCTCTGACTGGACTGAGAACAGATGAACACTACAGACCAAAGTCTGCAGGACCAGAGGAGGTTTGGCTTCAGCCGGAGTTCACAGCAGGACACAACTCCACTACCAAGGCTTATCTGGAGGAAACTTAAAAATCTGTTTTCAGAAAGAAAAGTAAATCTCTTCAGAAGGTCAGGGACTACTGCAACTCAGGAAACAACAAACAAGCAACAAAACGTGCAAAAAGGAAAATAAGGGTTAATTAAAGAATGTAAACCCAGCACGATATAAAAAGACAACAGGTGTGATGTCACTGTGATGTCACAGGAAGCCGGTGGGAGGGGGTAGAAGAAAATGGGTGTGGCCAATGTTCAGGCAGACATCATGCATCTCTGATCAGAACCAGCCAGCAAATATCATGAAGGCGGAGCTGGTTTCTGAGTGGTCGCCTGTGGGTCACCTGGTCAGGGCAGGTAAGGGGGGGGCGGAGCGTCCAGACATCAGGTGGGCGGAGTCAGTCCGGTCAGTGGAGTGGGAGCGTGTGTAGACTGGTCGGTCCGCCATCGCTCGGTGGTCAGCTGAGCGAGAGCGACTGTAATAATCCCGTCGGTCCGTCCCCCGACTGCACCTGCACATCACCACGACAACCGTCAACCACCGTCACTGTGACAACCACTGCACCTGCGGGGTCAGTTAGTCACATCACCGTGACGACTGTCGGCCGGTCGTACCTGCGAGGCAGCTGAACAGGAAGTTTAAGGCACTGAAGGACGGAGAAACACCACAGAAGAACTGAAGAAAGCCTGGTGGCACTACATTTCCCATAAGGCCTCAGTGAGAGAGCTCAGCAAGACATGCTGAGAGAGGAATGAGGGAAGTTCTAAGGCCTTTCTCAACACAGAACGCAGAACCATCACTTTGTGTTCTGACATCATGAGCTCAGCTGGTGAGTGAACGCACCTGTACACCGACTCTGAACCAAAGGTTTCATCATGGTGTGGCCAGGTGCGTTTACTCAGTCCACTCAGGTGGTGACATCACAAGATCGGTCCCAGTTTGGACACAAATTTAAACTGGACGCACTGAGAAAAGCCTCTAGTTTGGATGAAGGGATGAAGGAGGACGTGAAGGACTACTGGCCTCTGAACCTACATCCTGCAAACTGTCCGTTTACCTCAGAAGTTCCTCGTCATAGGCGTCGGGTTCGTAGGGGAAGTCAGGAATGAAGTCCTGACTGAAGAACAGAAACACGTAAGAACTCCAGAACAGGATGAATACCAAATGCTGACTGAACTTTGACCTGCACCGTCAGGTGGTTCCTACCTGACGAGTCTTACAGGTGTGTCACCTGTACTACCTGACTACACCCCTTCGAACTCTGACCCCCAACTGACAGATCAACAACTAACAGGAAGTAAATCTCCCTGAGTGCTAACTGGCATATTTTATGATTGGTCCTCTATCCCTACATTACCCATAAGCCCCTGTGCTTACCTGTAGTCCTCACAGCTCCCATTAATCATGTGGGTTGTCCAGGGAGTTTGGTTAGGCCCGTTAAAATATCTTCCACACAGAAAAACACACATGTAAATGAGACGGTGAAGAGTTCTATCCTGCAACTACTAGTTCTCTGAGTACTACCACTGAGATTATTACTACTACGGTTGCAGTACCTGTCGTGGGAGTCCAGAGAATTGGCAACAGACATTCTCCTCAGTGGACTCCTAAATACACAGAGACATGCAGTCAGACAAACCAGTACTACAAACCGTACAACACCTAGTACTACGAGCGGGACTACAACCATTACTAAAACCTGTACTACAAGCAGTGGTATAACCTAGACTACAACTAGTTCTACAACAATGTGACCAGTACTAAAACACTAGTACCAATAGGGTAGTAGTGTTGATTTCAGTTCTACAACTAATACTACAGTACTAAAACCAGTGGTACAACAAGTAATAAACACTACTAAAGCTGACATGACATAGTATAACTACTATAACATACTATAACTATAAGTAGATATGGCAGTACTACGATTGGTACTAAAATATGTTGTATGACTAGTAGCACAGCCAGAACTAAAACACAGTTCAGTTCCACTAGTACATCAACCAATACTTAAACCAATACTACTGCCAGTACTGTTTCAAGATATACAATCAGTACTGCAGACTGTGTGCTGATTGGCCGGTGTCCAGGTGATCCTGGTGTCTTGCCATAGTTACCTTTCCAGGCTGCCGTACTGGCCGGCATCGGAGTACGCCCGGCTCAGTTTGGAGCCTCGCAGCAGCCGCACGGCGTCCTCCCGGTACAATGGGAACAGAGGGCTACCGCTAGAAACCAGAAGTCAGAGGCCGGGGGGGGCTGGGGGTTAAACCAACTTTAAATGCGCCTGTATGGCGCCCTTCTAGTCTTTTCAACCACCAAAGTGCTTTTACACTACACATCTGCATTCACACACATTCATACACTGGTGGAACAGCCACCAGGAGCAATTCAGGGTTCAGTATCTTGCCCAAGGACACCTCGACATGCAGCCTGGAGGAGCCAATTAACGGGCAACCTGCTCTATCTCCTGAGCCACAGTCGCCTCTCCAGAACCCAGTAACCTCATCTCGTCCTGATCACAGCAGAGACTCTGCTGTCCCTACCAATATCCACGGACTTAACGGTCTCTACCGATATCCAGAGACTGAACTGTCTCTACTGATATCCAGAGATTTTGCTGTCCCTACCAATATCCAGAGACTCCGATGTCCCTACTAATATCCAGAGACTGAACTGTCTCTACCGATATCCAGAGAATGTGATGTCCCTACAGATATCCAGAGACTAAACTGTCTCTACCGATATCCAGAGACTCTGCTGTCCCTACCGATATCTAGAGATTCCGATGTCCCTACCAATATCCAAAGACTCCGATGTCTCTACCGATATCCAGAGACTGAACTGTCTCTACTGATATCCAGAGACTGAACTATCTCTACCGATATCCAGAGACTCGGCTGTCCCCACCAATATGCAGAGACTCAGCTGTCCTTACTGATATCCAGAGACTGAACTGTCTCTACTGATATCCACAGACAGAACTGTCCCTACCGATATCCAGAGACTGAAATGTCTCTACTGATATCCAGAGACTGAACTGTCCCTACCAATATCCAGAGACTGAACTGTCTCTACCGATATCCAGAGACTGAACTGTCTCTACTGATATCCAGAGATTTTGCTGTCCCTACCAATATCCAGAGACTCCGATGTCCCTACTAATATCCAGAGACTGAACTGTCTCTATCGATATCCAGAGAATGTGATGTCCCTACAGATATCCAGAGACTAAACTGTCTCTACCGATATCCAGAGACTCTGCTGTCCCTACCGATATCCAGAGATTCCGATGTCCCTACCAATATCCAAAGACTCCGATGTCTCTACCGATATCCAGAGACTGAACTGTCTCTACTGATATCCAGAGACTGAACTATCTCTACCGATATCCAGAGACTCGGCTGTCCCTACCAATATCCAGAGACTGAACTGTCTCTACTGATATCCAGAGATTTTGCTGTCCCTACCGATATCCAGAGAATGTGATGTCCCTACCGATATCCAGAGACTGAACTGTCTCTACCAATATCCAGAGACTCTGCTGTCCCTACCGATATCCAGAGATTTCGATGTCCCTACCAATATCCAGAGACTGAACTGTCTCTACCGATATCCAGAGAATGTGATGTCACTACCGATATCCAGAGACTGAACTGTCTCTACCAATATCCAGAGACTCTGCTGTCCCTACCGATATCCAGAGATTTCGATGTCCCTACCAATATCCAGAGACTGAACTGTCTCTACTGATATCCAGAGACTGAACTATCTCTACCAATATCCAGAGACTCGGCTGTCCCTACCAATATGCAGAGACTCGGCTGTCCTTACTGATATCCAGAGACTGAACTGTCTCTACCGATATCCAGAGACTGAACTGTCTCTACTGATATCCAGAGACTGAACTGTCTCTACTGATATCCACAGACTGAACTGTCTCTACCGATATCCAGAGACTGAAATGTCTCTACTGATATCCAGAGATTTTGCTGTCCCTACCAATATCCAGAGACTCTGCTGTCCCTACCAATATCCAGAGACTGAACGGTCTCTACCAATATCCAGAGACTGTGCTGTCCCTACAGATATCCAGAGACTGAACTGTCCCTACCGATATCCAGAGACTCTGCTGTCCCTACCGATATCCAGAGATTCCGATGTCCCTACCAATATCCAAAGACTCCGATGTCTCTACCGATATCCAGAGACTGAACTGTCTCTACTGATATCCAGAGACTGAACTATCTCTACCGATATCCAGAGACTCGGCTGTCCCTACCAATATCCAAAGACTCCGATGTCCCTACCAATATCCAGAGACTGCCATGTCCCTACCAATATCCAGAGACTTAACTGTCTCTACTGATATCCAGAGACTGAACTGTTTCTACTGATATCCAGAGACTGAACTGTCTCTACTGATATCCAGAGACTCGGCTGTCCCCACCAATATGCAGAGACTCAGCTGTCCTTACTGATATCCAGAGACTGAACTGTCTCTACTGATATCCAGAGACTGAACTGTCTCTACCGATATCCAGAGACTCGGCTGTCTCTACCGATATCCAGAGACTGAACTGTCTCTACTGATATCCAGAGATTTTGCTGTCCCTACCGATATCCAGAGAATGTAATGTCCCTACCGATATCCAGAGACTGAACTGTCTCTACCAATATCCAGAGACTCTGCTGTCCCTACCGATATCCAGAGATTTCGATGTCCCTACCAATATCCAGAGATTGAACTGTCTCTACCGATATCCAGAGAATGTGATGTCACTACCGATATCCAGAGACTGAACTGTCTCTACTGATATCCAGAGACTGAACTATCTCTACCGATATCCAGAGACTCGGCTGTCTCTACCGATATCCAGAGACTGAACTGTCTCTACTGATATCCAGAGATTTTGCTGTCCCTACCGATATCCAGAGAATGTAATGTCCCTACCGATATCCAGAGACTGAACTGTCTCTACCAATATCCAGAGAATGTGATGTCACTACCGATATCCAGAGACTGAACTGTCTCTACTGATATCCAGAGACTGAACTATCTCTACCGATATCCAGAGACTCGGCTGTCCTTACTGATATCCAGAGACTGAACTATCTCTACCGATGTCCAGAGACTCGGCTGTCCTTACTGATATCCAAAGACTGAACTGTCTCTACCGATATCCAGAGAATGTGATGTCACTACCGATATCCAGAGACTGAACTGTCTCTACTGATATCCAGAGACCAAACTATCTCTACCGATATCCAGAGACTCGGCTGTCCTTACTGATATCCAGAGACTGAACTGTCTCTACCGATATCCAGAGATTCTGATGTCCCTACCGATATCCAGGGACTTAACTGTCTCTACCGATATCCAGAGACTGAACTGTCCCTACCGATATCCAGAGACTGAACCCATTTCCTCACACAACATGGTTATCTTTTCTGAGCTGCAGTTTATAAACACTGTGGCCTGTTGGTGTTTATCAAATATAACAAATAGTTGTATTTCACTCTAACATTGTTCAGTCACAGTCAAACCAAGACACAGACAGACCAGAGATGCGCTGCACAGCTGGTTAGCAGGACAGAGAGTAGAGAGATTCACTACAGCTGCACATTAACATCACTGTTATCTGCTGACATCAGACTCAAGTTTAACTCACTGCTGCTCAGTTTTTTTCTCTTCTCGTGCCAGCAGGATAGTACCAATTCATCTTCTCATCAAAGTTGTCAAAGTCTCAACACTCGCTTTCACCTTTGACAGGAAAGTGAGGTGGGGCCCTGTCAGCTCTGCGCGAAAGTGACTTGATTACTATCACTGTGTGTGTCGGTGTTGCATCAGCTGGGCGAAGTTTATTCGCACCAGGTCAGCTTTATCTATTTTACATGTGTTTTACTGCTGCTCTACTCAGGTGGCTGCACACTTTTCTTCCTTTTCACGCTAATAACAATGTAATGAGGTCTCCTGCAGAATGTAACGGAGTAAAAAGTCATTATTTGACTTAGAAATGTAGCGAAGTGAAAGTAAAAGTTGCAACAACTAAAAGTACAAATACAGAAAAAAACTACTTAATACAAAGTATTTGTACTTCGTTACTTTCCACCACTGGCTGGGACCAATCCTCTTCACTTTATATATGCCTTTAAGCAATATTACCAGGAAAACACTCTGTAAACTTTCATTGTTATGAAGATGATACTCTATTATATCTATCAATCAAGCCAGATGAAACTCATCAGTTAGCTAAACTCCAGATGTGCCTTCAGGAAGTTAAAACCTGGATGACCTGTAATTTTCTAATGTTAAACTCAGATAAAACTGAAGTTATTGTTCTGGGGCCCAAGCACCTCTGGTTATCTAAAGATAATGCTGGCCTCCAGCACCACTGTGAGGAATCTTGGAGTTATCTTTGATCAGGACATGTCGTTTAAGTCTCACATTAAGCAAATTTCAAGGACCGCCTTTTTTTTACCTTCGTAAAATTGCAAACATCAGGAACATCCTGTCTAAAAATGGTGAAGAAAAACTAGTCCATGCATTTGTTACTTCTAGGCTGGATTACTGCAATTCCTTATTATCAGGCTGCTTGAAAAAGTCCATTAAGACTCTTCAGCTGATCCAGAATGCTGCAGCACGTGTTCTGACAGGAACCAAGAAAGTCTCTCAGACGGTGTGAAGGGGATACTACCACATAAGCAGAGTATAGGGCAGGTAGACTTAAAATATTATGGCTTCATTGTTAACTTACAACTTTGTTCTTGTAATATTATAATTTTAGTTTGAACATGAGCAGAAAAGCTGCTGAAACACAGGTACCAGTCCAGGAGTTTCTATCTGAATTAAAATGAATTAATCTCACTGAGGTGAAAAGGAGCCACAGTCACATTTAAAGAGGTCACTTCCCCAAACAAAGACACGAAGAGGAGGGAAGACTAAACCCTGACTCAGCAGACATTAAAAAGGTTGGTCTACAGGAGAAACTGATCTGAGAGCAGAGCTGACTTACATTCTGTTAGAGGGTTAGTTTGAGTTTCCCTTTACAGAAATAAAAACATTTCCACCATAAACTGGATCAGAAAGATTCACCAGAATGCAGGAAATTAACTGTTAAACCCTCCGACCCCCTGATTAATGTGTGTCCCCCAACACAACCTCCCATCATCTCCTCTCGTCTCACCTCATCCTGCTTCAAGTCAGGTGGTTTCATTTCTTCTCATTATATCATTTTGTGTCTCTTCTTCTTCAGTCTGATCTCACTGTCATTTTGTTTGATTTTATGTTCTATTATCTCATCACCTCTCATCTAATCTAATCTCACTGCGTCAGGGCGACTCTGATCTCACCGTCTCTCATATCATTCCTTTAACACCTGACTTCGTCTCCTTTCATCCTGTTCTGTCCTCTGATCTCAGTTCATCTCAGACCATCTGAATCTTATCGTGAACACACAAAGACACACGGCTGCTTACCTCTGAGGAGGCGGCTGGCTCGGCGACCGTGACCTCATCCTGACAACATCGGATCGAGAGCAGTGATTGGACGACAACACCTGCTCTGGCACTGAGAGGGTGGAGCTGTGAAAGTCCCGCCCATTCTGTCTGTAGTCTGGAACAGAGAAACAGAGCAGGGAAGAACCGTCAACCCCCAAAGGGAACCGGCTCTGAGGGTTCTGTCTTACCAGCATTTATCACAGTGAAATCTCAGACTCCTGTGGCTCTGTACGGAACGTCACAGTCATTTTTCACTATGTAAGAGACTCCTGTGGTTCTGTACGGAACGTCACAGTCATTTTTCACTATGTAAGAGACTCCTGTGGTTCTGTGAGGAACATCTGTCATTTTACATTATGTAAGAGACCCCTGTAGTGCTGTGAGGAACGTCACAGTCATGTCACTTTATATGAAGAGACTCCTGTGGTTCTGTGAGGAATGTCACAGTCATGTCACATTATGTAAGAGACTCTTGTGGTTCTGTGAGGAATGTCACAGTCATGTCACATTATGTAAGAGACTCCTGTGGTTCTGTGAGGAACGTCACAGTCATGTTACATTATGTAAGAGACTCCTGTGGTTCTGTGAGGAACGTCACAGTCATGTTACTTTATATGAAGAGAGTCCTGTGGTTCTGTGAGGACCGTCACAGTCATTTTTCACTATGTAAGAGACTCCTGTGGTTGTGTGGGGAAAGTCACAGTCATGTTACTTTATATGAAGAGAGTCCTGTGGTTCTGTGAGGAACGTCACAGTCATGTTACATTATGTAAGAGAGTCCTGTGGTTCTGTGAGGAACGTCACAGTCATGTCACATTATTTAAGAGACTCCTGTGGTTCTGTGAGGAACATCTGTCATTTTACATTATGTAAGAGACCCCTGTAGTGCTGTGAGGAACGTCACAGTCATGTCACTTTATATGAAGAGACTCCTGTGGTTCTGTGAGGAATGTCACAGTCATGTTACATTATGTAAGAGACTCTTGTGGTTCTGTGAGGAATGTCACAGTCATGTCACATTATGTAAGAGACTCCTGTGGTTCTGTGAGGAACGTCACAGTCATGTTACATTATGTAAGAGACTCCTGTGGTTCTGTGAGGAACGTCACAGTCATGTTACTTTATATGAAGAGAGTCCTGTGGTTCTGTGAGGACCGTCACAGTCATTTTTCACTATGTAAGAGACTCCTGTGGTTCTGTGAGGAAAGTCACAGTCATGTTACTTTATATGAAGAGAGTCCTGTGGTTCTGTGAGGAACGTCACAGTCATGTTACATTATGTAAGAGACTCCTGTGGTTCTGTGAGGAACGTCACAATGATGTGACATTATGTAAGAGACCCCTGTAATTCTGTGAGGAACGTCACAGTCATGTCACATTATGTAAGAGACTCCTGTAATTCTGTGAGGAACGTCACAGTCATGTCACTTTATATGAAGAGAGTCCTGTGTTTCTGTGAGGAACGTCACAGTCATGTTACATTATGTAAGAGACTCCTGTGGTTCTGTGAGGAACGTCACAATGATGTGACATTATGTAAGAGACCCCTGTAATTCTGTGAGGAACGTCAGTCATGTCACTTTATATGAAGAGACTCCGGTGGTTCTGTGAGGAACATCACAGTCATGTCACTTTATATGAAGAGACTCCTGTGGTTCTGTGAGGAACGTCACAGTCATTTTACATTATGTAAGACACACCTGTGGTTCTGTGAGGAACGTCAGTCATGTTACAGTATGTAAGAGACTCCTGTGGTTCTGTGAGGAACGTCACAGTCATGTTACATCATGTAAGAGACTCCTGTGGTTCTGTGAGGAATGTCACAGTCATATTACATTATGTAATAGACCCCTTTGGTTCTGTGAGGAACCTCGCAGTCATGTCACATTACATGAAGAGACTCCTGTGGTTCTGTGAGTAATGTCACAGTCATGTTACATTATGTAAGAGACTCCTGTAGTTCTGTGAGGAATGTCACAGTCATGTCACATTATGTAAGAGACTCCTGTGGTTCTGTGAGGAACGTCACAGTCATGTTACATTATGTAAGAGACTCCTGTGGTTCTGTGAGGAACGTCACAATGATGTGACATTATGTAAGAGACCCCTGTAATTCTGTGAGGAACGTCAGTCATGTCACTTTATATGAAGAGACTCCGGTGGTTCTGTGAGGAACATCACAGTCATGTCACTTTATATGAAGAGACTCCTGTGGTTCTGTGAGGAACGTCACAGTCATTTTACATTATGTAAGACACACCTGTGGTTCTGTGAGGAACGTCAGTCATGTTACAGTATGTAAGAGACTCCTGTGGTTCTGTGAGGAACGTCACAGTCATGTTACATCATGTAAGAGACTCCTGTGGTTCTGTGAGGAATGTCACAGTCATATTACATTATGTAATAGACCCCTTTGGTTCTGTGAGGAACCTCGCAGTCATGTCACATTACATGAAGAGACTCCTGTGGTTCTGTGAGTAATGTCACAGTCATGTTACATTATGTAAGAGACTCCTGTAGTTCTGTGAGGAATGTCACAGTCATGTCACATTATGTAAGAGACTCCTGTGGTTCTGTGAGGAACTTCTGTCATGTTACAGTATGTAAGAGACCCCTGTGGTTCTGTGAGGAACGTCAGTCATGTTACAGTATGTAAGAGACCCCTGTGGTTCTGTGAGGAACGTCAGTCATGTTACAGTATGTAAGAGACTCCTTTGGTTCTGTGAGGAACGTCACAGTCATGTTACATTATGTATGAGACCCCTGTGGTTCTGTGAGGAACGTCACAGTCATGTCACATTATGTAAGAGACTCCTGTGGTTCTGTGAGGAACGTCACAGTCATGTTACATTATGTAAGAGACCCCTGTGGTTCTGTGAGGAACGTCACAGTCATGTCACTTTATATGAAGAGACTCCTGTGGTCCTGTGAGGAACGTCACAGTCATGTTACATTATGTAGGAGACTCCTGTGGTTCTGTGAGGAACGTCACAGTCATGTCACTTTATATGAAGAGACTCCTGTGGTCCTGTGAGGAACGTCACAGTCATGTTACATTATGTAGGAGACTCCTGTGGTTCTGTGAGGAACGTCACCGTCATGTTACTTTATATGAAGAGACTCCCGTGGTCCTGTGAGGAACGTCACAGTCATGTTACATTATGTAAGAGACTCCTGTGGTTCTGTGAGGAACGTCACAGTCATGTTACATTATGTAAGAGACTCCTGTGGTTCTGTGAGGAACGTCACAGTCATGTTACTTTATATGAAGAGACTCCTGTGGTTCTGTGGGGAATGTCACAGTCATGTTACATTATGTAAGAGACTCCTGTGGTTCTGTGAGGAACACCACAGTCATGTTACATTAAATGAAGAGACTCCTGTGGTTCTGTGAGGAATGTCACAGTCATGTCACATTATGTAAGAGACTCCTGTGGTTCTGTGAGGAACTTCATTCATTTTACATTATGTAAGAGACCCCTGTGGTTCTGTGAGGAACGTCAGTCATGTTACAGTATGTAAGAGACCCCTGTGGTTCTGTGAGGAACGTCAGTCATGTTACAGTATGTAAGAGACTCCTTTGGTTCTGTGAGGAACGTCACAGTCATGTCACATTATGTAAGAGACTCCTGTGGTTCTGTGAGGAACGTCACAGTCATGTCACATTATGTAAGAGACTCCTGTAGTTTTGTGAGGAACGTCACAGTCATGTTACATTAAATGAAGAGAGTCCTGTGGTTCTGTGAGAAACGTCACAGTCATGTTACATTATGTAAGAGACTCCTGTGGTTCTGTGAGGAACGTCACAGTGATGTCATTTTATATGAAGAGACTCCTGTGGTTCTGTGAGGAATGTCACAGTCATGTTACATTATGTATGAGACCCCTGTGGTTCTGTGAGGAACGTCAGTCATGTTACATTATGTAAGAGACTCCTTTGGTTCTGTGAGGAACGTCACAGTCATGTCACATTATGTAAGAGACTCCTGTGGTTCTGTTAGGAACTTCTGTCATTTTACATTATGTATGAGACCCCTGTGGTTCTGTGAGGAACGTCAGTCATGTTACAGTATGTAAGAGACTCCTTTGGTTCTGTGAGGAACGTCACAGTCATGTTACATTATGTAAGAGACTCCTGTGGTTCTGTGAGGAACGCCACAGTCATGTTACATTAAATGAAGAGACTCCTGTGGTTCATAGATGTATTATCTTATTTAAGGATGGGTTAGGGTTGTAAGTGAATGTCACTTTGTTGGTTTTAACACTGAGCTGTAGTGTTGCAATGCAAGATGGGACATGGAGTTCACCTGAAATCACCCCGATGCCGTCTTCACAGTCGTAATCTGAAAACTCATTGTCACTGATCCTCTGAGACCCTGCAGGGAGAGAGAGAGAGGATGTTTAAGCCTGTAAGCAGCTCCAGCTTAATCCTCCACAATAAGGTCAACTAATCCCACACACACAGAACACACAGAACATACAAACAGTGCAACACACACACACAGACAGACAGAACATACAGAACACACACTACAAGGAGATAAACTATTTAACACACCAACATTAAAATACAGCTTTTCTTATTTCCTTAGATTACCTTGAAACCTTTCTGAGATGATTGAGGACACGTCAAGGACTACAGAAACCCACTCAACCAACTGGCAACAATTCAACAGAGGACCTGTAAAACTCTAAGAACGTACCCCAGAGAACCTCTCAAAGGACAATTAGAACATCTTCATCTCCATCGTAACCTCTGCCAGGGTTCTTCTACTCTTCCAAGACCCTTTAAAGGAACCCTGGAATCAGCCTTGAAGACAGCTGCAACCATGGACGCAGGGCACAGGTCATGTGTTCTGACTCCCCTGTTCACCACAAATACCATCACCCACTGGAACAACCTTGACTCTGAGGGCCTTAGGCCTGTTCGTAGAGAACAACAAACAACCAGCCCTACGCAACAGGTTCGACATGAAACTTGAACGTACTGAGGTCTGGGATATGTAGAACACAAAGAAACTACATGCTCCACCTGTCCCCCCACCACCACCACCACTTGACATGTACGATAAATCAAACGGAAAATGGAAACCTGACCAACCCACAGCATTAAGGATCTACAGAACCCCATCAAGGACCTGGAAAACTCCATCAAGGACCCCTCAGAACCACTTCATGTATATGTGGAACATTCTCAGAGAACTGTGTCACCCTCTTATAGCCTGCTGGAACCCTTGAAGGACCCTAGACAGCTAGTTCTTCCAGTTACAGAGTGGAACCAGCTGAACCTGGAAAACTAAAACGGATACCAGACACCTGTGACTGACGGGGGCGTGGCCTATCTGCAACATTGCCTAAAAACAGATGTTTCATACACACACACACACACACACACACACACACAGCTGTTATTACCTGAGTTATAGTAAGGGCCTTTGTCTGACAAAGCATCATGGGAGAAAAGTAAAACAAAATCAACAACACACAAAAACGACAGACTAAATAAAAAACAACTGTGACAAAAAAACAAACAGGACTGTGTGTGTGTGTCTGTGTGTTAGTGTGTATCCTCAGTGTGTGTGTTAGTGTGTATCCTCAGTGTGTGTTAGTGTGTATCCTCAGTGTGTGTTAGTGTGTATCCTCAGTGTGTGTTAGTGTGTATCCTCAGTGTGTGTTAGTGTGTATCCTCAGTGTGTGTGTTAGTGTGTATCCTCAGTGTGTGTTAGTGTGTATCCTCAGTGTGTGTGTTAGTGTGTATCCTCAGTGTGTCTGTGTGTTAGTGTGTATCCTCAGTGTGTGTGTTAGTGTGTATCCTCAGTGTGTGTGTTAGTGTGTATCCTCAGTGTGTGTTAGTGTGTATCCTCAGTGTGTGTTAGTGTGTATCCTCAGTGTGTGTTAGTGTGTATCCTCAGTGTGTGTTAGTGTGTATCCTCAGTGTGTGTGTTAGTGTGTATCCTCAGTGTGTGTGTTAGTGTGTATCCTCTGTGTGTGTTAGTGTGTATCCTCAGTGTGTGTTAGTGTGTATCCTCAGTGTGTGTGTTAGTGTGTATCCTCAGTGTGTGTGTTAGTGTGTATCCTCAGTGTGTGTTAGTGTGTATCCTCAGTGTGTGTGTTAGTGTGTATCCTCAGTGTGTGTTAGTGTGTATCCTCAGTGTGTGTTAGTGTGTATCCTCAGTGTGTGTGTGTTAGTGTGTATCCTCAGTGTGTGTTAGTGTATCCTCAGTGTGTGTTAGTGTGTATCCTCAGTGTGTGTTAGTGTGTATCCTCAGTGTGTGTTAGTGTGTATCCTCAGTGTGTGTTAGTGTATCCTCAGTGTGTGTTAGTGTGTATCCTCAGTGTGTGTTAGTGTGTATCCTCAGTGTGTGTTAGTGTATCCTCAGTGTGTGTGTTAGTGTGTATCCTCAGTGTGTGTGTTAGTGTGTATCCTCAGTGTGTGTGTTAGTGTGTATCCTCAGTGTGTGTGTTAGTGTGTATCCTCAGTGTGTGTGTTAGTGTGTATCCTCAGTGTGTGTTTAGTGTGTATCCTCAGTGTGTGTTAGTGTATCCTCAGTGTGTGTGTTAGTGTGTATCCTCAGTGTGTGTGTTAGTGTGTATCCTCAGTGTGTGTGTTAGTGTATCCTCAGTGTGTGTTAGTGTGTATCCTCAGTGTGTGTGTGTTAGTGTGTATCCTCAGTGTGTGTTAGTGTGTATCCTCAGTGTGTGTTAGTGTGTATCCTCATGTGTGTGTTAGTGTGTCCTCATGTGTGTGTTAGTGTGTATCCTCAGTGTGTGTGTTAGTGTATCCTCAGTGTGTGTGTTAGTGTGTATCCTCAGTGTGTGTGTTAGTGTGTATCCTCAGTGTGTGTTAGTGTGTATCCTCAGTGTGTGTTAGTGTGTATCCTCAGTGTGTGTTAGTGTGTATCCTCAGTGTGTGTTAGTGTGTATCCTCAGTGTGTGTTAGTGTGTATCCTCAGTGTGTGTGTGTGAGTGTGTATCCTCAGTGTGTGTTAGTGTATCTCCTCAGTGTGTGTTAGTGTGTATCCTCAGTGTGTGTTAGTGTGTATCCTCAGTGTGTGTTAGTGTATCCTCAGTGTGTGTTAGTGTGTATCCTCAGTGTGTTAGTGTATCCTCAGTGTGTGTGTTAGTGTGTATCCTCAGTGTGTGTTAGTGTGTATCCTCAGTGTGTGTTAGTGTGTATCCTCAGTGTGTGTTAGTGTGTATCCTCAGTGTGTGTGTGTTAGTGTGTCCTCAGTGTGTGTGTTAGTGTGTATCCTCAGTGTGTGTGTTAGTGTGTATCCTCAGTGTGTGTGTTAGTGTGTATCCTCAGTGTGTGTGTGTTAGTGTATCCTCAGTGTGTGTGTTAGTGTGTATCCTCAGTGTGTGTGTTAGTGTGTATCCTCAGTGTATGTGTGTTAGTGTATCCTCAGTGTGTGTTAGTGTGTATCCTCAGTGTGTGTGTGTTAGTGTGTATCCTCAGTGTGTGTTAGTGTGTATCCTCAGTGTGTGTTAGTGTGTATCCTCAGTGTGTGTGTTAGTGTGTATCCTCAGTGTGTGTGTTAGTGTGTATCCTCAGTGTGTGTTAGTGTGTATCCTCAGTGTGTGTTAGTGTGTATCCTCAGTGTGTGTTAGTGTGTATCCTCAGTGTGTGTGTTAGTGTGTATCCTCTGTGTGTGTGTTAGTGTGTATCCTCAGTGTGTGTTAGTGTGTATCCTCATGTGTGTGTTAGTGTGTATCCTCAGTGTGTGTTAGTGTGTATCCTCAGTGTGTGTTAGTGTGTATCCTCATGTGTGTTAGTGTGTATCCTCAGTGTGTGTTAGTGTATCCTCAGTGTGTGTGTTAGTGTGTATCCTCAGTGTGTGTTAGTGTGTATCCTCATGTGTGTGTGTTAGTGTGTATCCTCAGTGTGTGTTAGTGTATCCTCAGTGTGTGTGTTAGTGTGTATCCTCAGTGTGTTTTGTGTATCCTCAGTGTGTGTTAGTGTGTATCCTCAGTGTGTGTTAGTGTATCCTCAGTGTGTGTGTTAGTGTGTATCCTCAGTGTGTGTTAGTGTGTATCCTCAGTGTGTGTTAGTGTATCCTCAGTGTGTGTGTTAGTGTGTATCCTCAGTGTGTGTTAGTGTGTATCCTCAGTGTGTGTGT